TCCATATTAAGTCTCACGGAAAACAAGCTATTCTTTATCCTTTGGTGACCTGTTGTATTAGGTCATCAAGAAATTAATGTTGTGTTTTGGAACACTTTCATTAACCATCCCCCAAAAAATTGACATCACGTATAATAGTTAAACGAACTGCCAAATGTCATGTTAGTGTAGCCTATATAATGTGTAAAGTTTGATATACACTAATCTCTTATAGTAATGGCACACGACGAGACACACGTTTGGTATGTAATGATGTTTGAATACAAGAAAGGAAATCTGTAACCACAAAGAATATAAAATTAAGTTTATGGAAATGTATTGAATGTTTGTAAGTGTCAACCAAGGTTCAGCAAATGTTTCGATGATCATCATTTCCAACATGTGAACGTTGCTTCGTCTCTTCTGCCGCATAATGCTCGTGAACCATTTTTGGATGAAAAATGGATTCTCTATTCGCATATTAAATGCCAAAAACAATGGCTCAGACCTACACAAAAACCACTTCCAACCCCGAAACCTGGACTATATCTGCAGAAAGGGGTGCTTTGCATTTGGTGAGATGCCAAATGAGTAATTCATTTTGAACTCCTCCATCCACAGTGAACTGTCAATTGCAGAGATCTATAGTCAGCAACTGGAACATTTAAATCAAGCCCTTCATCAGAAACATCCTTCACTCGTCAATCGGAAAGGTGTTCTTCTTCTCCACAACAATGCACATCCACATGTGGCACGTTTGGTGCAACACAAGATTATGGAGTTAGGTTGGGAAGTTCTTCCCCACCCACCATATTCTCCAGATATGGCACCATCAGATTACCATCTTTTTTGCTTGCTGAAACACCATCTTAATGAGAAAATGTATGCAAATGTGGAAAGTGTTAAAGAGGACATTGACATGTTTTTTGCTTCAAAGCCAAGTGATTTCTTTAATCAGGGCATTAACAACCTGATTTTAAGATTATAAAGCATCATCGATAAGAATGGAGTCTATTTCATTTAATAAATGTTTGTTTTGATATATAAGTTGTTTGGGTTTTTTTTTTTCATCTAAAAAAAGCAACATTAATTTCTTGACGACCTAACATTTATGAAAATAAAGGTTTTTGTTGGTAGGCAGTACAAAAGGTTTGTTCAAAGAACTGCACAAGTCAAACTTGCCAGCTGAGAAGATTTATGTTTTTGGCTGCTTTAGTTTGCTATTGACCCATTAAAAGTGATCTTTATATTTCAGAACACTTTTGTCAAGGAACAAATTAACCCAACTGGTGATTTTCAAGAAGTTGAGGATATTTTTAGGTTCAGTAAGAATGATGATGATCTAGATAATTCAAAAATTGAAATTTTGAGTATTAAAAAAGAAAATGAATTTCAAGAAGAGATGCATCAACTTGACTCTGAGTTAGAAGGTAGATTTGGTAAGTGCTGATATTTCCCTGAAACTATATTCAAGAATACTGATTGAAAAAAAAAATTTTTTTTGTTTAGTTTTTGTACTGAATTAACTCTTTGTATTTAAAATTTAGGAAATACCATCTGCATGATACAGAATTAATTATAAGGTAGAATGATATGTGGGCTAGAGTAACCACATCTGCTGAATTTTTTTTCTTAATTTCTTTATCATGGGAAACATGTTTATTTAACTACATGTTAAAACTTATAGTAAAAATTCCGTGACACATACAATAACACAATGGTATGCTAATATTGTAATTTTTAGTGTTCCTACTACTTCTAATTGATTTATATCTTCTTGGGAGTGAAAGTGCAAAGGTTTCTAGCATAATAAGTGTGTTTCATTCCAGAATGTTGTAGTTTGTTGTCTATGGATATGTTGCTGTACAACTTTTGATTTAATTTTTTACTTATTTTATTAACTTACTTGCCAAGAGACTAGTAAAAAGTGTTTTCTTCTACTTGATTGCTACCAAGAAGAAAGAAGTTGTAAATACAAACCATATTTATTATGCACACAAGTAAAAAAAGCACTGATGCTTATACACATATAAATATTTAAATTTACATATTTCCAGTGAACATTCCTTTAATAGAAATTTGTTTTGCAAGGATGAGAATTAAAAAAAAATAATTTTTTGTTTTGTTAGTGTATAGACACAGCACATGCACACAAACAAGTATAAATCCATGTTTAATATAGATTAGAAAGCCTAATACATAATAATTTCTATTATTTGGATATTAAAATAGGCTTTACATGTTTTGGTGCTCTTACAGTGCCTATAAAAACAAAAACTGGAAAAAGTTTTCATCCAGATGTGTCAGTTTATTCTTTGTTATCATTTATCCATATTTTAGCAACGTTAACTCATGCTCATCTTCTGCCAAATCAATGCTAGCAATGATCAAGCATAAGGAGAAATAGTCCAGTACTACTTGCAGATATTCATCGCCAAAATTATCTACAAAAATCATCTAACACAATGTTCCTCATCACAAAATTATGTGTTGGGGCATGGCCTAGTGTTTAGGGTACTCGACTCACAATCTGTGAGTCACAGGATTGAAACCTGTCCTAGAACATGCTTGTCCTTTTAGCTGTATTGGCATTAAAATCAGACTGCCAGTCCCACTCTCTGTTGGTAAAGAGTATCCCAAGAGTTGGAAGTGGGTGATGTTGACTAACTGCCTTCCTTCTAGTTTATCAATTTGAAATCAGGGATGGCTAGCACTGATATTGCTTGGGTAGCTTTGTGCAAAAACTTCAACAAAAAAACAAATACAAAACCCAGACCATCACATAATTAATATGTATGTGTAGTTTACTGTTACAGTATGTCATATAATAATCATACTTTAACAGGATATTCATATGCATATCAGTAACATTGCTTAACTAAGTTTGAACAGATTTGTGGGATACATACCTACAATAGTTGTTAATGAAGTGCAGTAAATACCAACTTCATTGTTTAAATGTTACCACATTATTTTATTTGATTTGGCTGGCTGTAACTTGAAGTTGGAGATTCATTATGCTTATAAGGTGTCATCTTCAAATCTTTCAAATAACTGACCCATAATCTCAAGAAAAGTGGAAAGTAAGGTGTTTTTCTTCAGATCATAACCTTGCATAATCTCTGAAAAACTTTTGGGAAGATACAATTCCCATATTATGATCTATAATCTCAAGAAAAGTGGTAAGTAAGGTGTTTTTCTTCAGATAACAACCTTGCATAATCCCTGAAAAACTTTTGGGAAGATACAATTCCCATATTTTACAGGGCAACTTGAATTTATTATTAATTGAAATTGTTCAGCACTTGCTCACTGTCTTTTGAAATCATTATACTTACCTGATATACAAATTCCCTAATGCTAATTTAGCCTCAGTGATCACCATGCTTTTGGAGAGAGAGACAATTGTGTGAGTAGATAAGGCACATTACATAGAAGATACAGCAGCAAAATTAACTGCTTAGCAAGTTTCTGGTTAGTATTGCAGTTTTTCTAGAAACAAATTACAAGTACAAACCTCCAAAGGAACATTCACATATTCTTACTGTTGAGTATCAGTATGCCTGTGATACATGTGTTTTTGTCATTTACACTACATGATTGTCAATGCAGAATGTTACTATAATTGTGATTAACAATATCTTTTCACTTGCAAATGACTTACTGGTGATTTACAATCCCCATTCGAGCTGGATGGCACATTCGGCTAAGTATCAGGAAATGGGGCTAGCAAGACTGTGAATTTAACTTGTTGTACTGATTACCCAAACACTTAACATGTGGGCCATCCAGTCTGTACAGTGCAGTTTTAACAGCAGCGTTACATCCACCAAAATCCACTAATCTGTCTGTTTCTTTAGACTGATATTCAGTAATGTTCCCTGTATAAAACAAGCATTTGACAAATAACTGAATGTAGCATAATAAGTGTGGCAATATTACACTTCTACAATTCTTCACTGCATTGATATAATATGATGTTTGGTTCCAATTGAATGCATTGGTTTACAATGCCTAAATCTTGTGATTTATGATGTAGATGCATTATTGTTTAGGGATAATAAAAAATCCATTTCTCTTAGCAAACAGTACAGTTATTATTTCATTTAAGTAGACCAGAAGGTATATTGCATGGTATCTGTAAAAGTCTAAAAGTCCAGAAGGAAAAGCAACTTTTTTTGGTATTTTGGATGTTTTGTATATGTATTAGTTTTTCTGGATTTTAGTCCTATGTACTCTAGCAAAAATGTTCCAGTCATTATATTCCACAAATATTTGGTTGTGCTCATTACTTAAACAAGGTGACATAGTAGAGAATAAGGTACTAAATTAATTCTGTTTTATCAAGTTCATAGACCTAGCTTAGATTTATTACATTTGAACAACTACAATTAAAATTCTTGTGTACAATAAACATTCATGTAAATTTAATCAAATATTATAACATTATAAATTTTGAATACATGTATATATAGTTACATACATACATATAGAATATCTTCGTCTATTTTTATAATAATTAGTGAATGTCATTATGATCCATGAACAATGGATCAGTGTTTAAATTGTTTTTTCATGAGATCATGCTTCTGTGTTTTGAATAAATAAGCTTTAAAATTCTCAGTTTTTCTTTCATTATACAATTGTGGATGTATTTTAAAGAACATATAGTATTGTGACATGTATCATATCATCCCTTTGTTGCTGATCCACAGGCCTAGTCAATATAAATACAAGATGTCTGGATGTGAGAAGTAGATCAATGAGTTGACAGAATTCATAAGTGAACAAGAGAAACTTTATCTGTATAAAATTTGGGGAAGTTATAAAGTTGAAGATGAAATGGTCATGGACTGTTGTAATCTTTTTCACCTAGTACTACTTGATAGGATATTTTTTAATCAGTCTTTATTTTATTTTTAGGTTTGTTGGTAGGATTTTTTTTACTACAGGTTTGGTATTTTGTTTGGATAAACTTCTGAATTTTGCTTTCATTCTTAGATTTATTCATAACAAGCGGAAATATCCATCAGCTGATGGGGAATGTTTAAATTTAATTGAAACAATGTAAGTTTAATAGCTTGAACATAAACTTTACCTCAAAATTTTAAGATTGTAATAAAGCTTCTTCATAAACAACATTTTCGATTTGCTTTCCATCTACCAACAAATAAAGGTTTGAGGTGAT